ATCGGTCGCGGACTGAGCACGTCTCGGCTCTCTAAGACTGAGGTAGGGGCCGAGAGCTGCTGGTATTATAAGAACGGAAAGTCCATTTCATGGGCGAAACAGTCAATTTGTGCTCTAAGATAGTTTCTGAACGGCTTCCCTCACATTCTCACCACCGTTGACGAACCGCGAACTCTTGGTCGTAGACTAGCACTGGCATAGTACCAAGTTAGTCTGTTGAGAACTTCAGCAATGTTCCCAGACGCCAAGTATATTGCCATACTAAGGGGTGATATTATAGAGTCGTTGTATGGTTCTATGACAGCGAGCGAACTTTTGTCTTCGCCCCGCCACCTACTCGCGCTTTCAGACTTCAACATACGAGGGCGACCATAACACGTGTCCATGGGGTACAAGGTATAGACAGATCATATCCCGCAGTTCAAATTCAGACTCCTATCTAGGATAATTATATGATTCTATTTGTTGTTAATATTGCCAGAGTAAACCTAGTATCCCTGCGTCTTGCATTTTATCGGGATAACCCGTCGAGATCTAACTGGATTTTGTATTCTACTTATTAACTGACTTTAACGCCAAACTGAAACTTCACCCAACTCATAACCGCCGCCTTTTCTGCCCCAGAGCAGGTTCCAGGAAGTGAACTACCCGCTTTGACCCACGATAGCAGTAACAAGATCTCTGCGGCGGCCATTCTTGATTTTGATGATCTGCGCGACCGAACTGGGCGTAAGCCTTTTGCTCATCGAGGAATTCCTGCGCCGATTTGGGGAAACTACCAATCCTTTCGCGAAAGGTATCATTGGCAATTTCAATTGTGACCATTTCGTCAAGGCTGGTGACCCGAAAATCAACGCGCTTCCTGAAGTATCCACAAAACCGGCAACTGCCGACTAGATCTACGCTTCCTAAATCAAGGTCCTGACCAGACTTAAACCTTGCGCCGGGGAACTCGACAAGCACCCGCTGCAAGATCTCGGCAGGATTTGGTCTTGAACAAAGAACAGACCCCCGACAATGAAATGAAGCCTTACCCTGGATGGGAGTTTCATCCAACTCAAAGAAAAACATTGCCGACGCGAGAATGGTCCTCACAAGCTCAGCTGGAACTGCAAAATCCATATTCGACATCGCTTCCAGCGAGCACACATCGTCTAATTCAGGGAGCGTCCCATCGATTGCCTGGTCTAGTCGGAAAATATCAGGCGTCGACAGATGGGGTAGGTAATTCAGAGCTTCCAAAAACCCTTGCTTTCCGTCCATAGATGGAGAGGACATCATGGCCCGGAACAGTCGGGGAAGAGGCCCCTCCCAGATTCGGCCCAGTATGCCCGTTGGACGACTGGGGGGAGATGTGGAGAAGCCTGTTCCGACAGAGAGGAGAAGGTCGTGTCGTTTCGCCATGGGCCAGATGATGCTCGACTCTCGCAAAGCAATGGCGAGTGGGTTGTTCGCACGGACCCCACCGTCTTGCAGACAAAGGCCTGGCAACTCTTTTGGTTGGAAGTAGCTAGAAAATGTCAGCGTGTTGAAATGTCTCATGGTACTTGGACTCACATGGGCGCTGCACCACTGCATATCGACCTGTCAAAAGCTAACTGTTAGCAAGATCGACTACCACTGTCCAAATCAACTGGCTGCAAACGGTCACTTACGCGTCAAGTAAGGAAGGGTTTTGTCGGTCGTTGTGTGGAGTTAGAAACTCGTAGGCGGTATTGGTGGAACGTGGACTTGTTCCTCGGTAATTGGCTAGCACGCAGGCTTTACCATCAGATGTGCGGCTTGCTACAATGGCGATCCGGCAACCCGCAGGATTGGCGGTGGCGACATCGAACATGCGACGAGATGGGTCAACGGCTGCTTTCAAAATCTTCGACAGACCTTCGGAATCGTAAAGGCCATCTGTGGTCAAGTTGAACGCCGAGGCAAACCACCGGATACAGCGAGGAATTGGGGTTTCGGATGAATGACAAAAAATGTTTCGCGCCAGGTGCGGGAACGCACCGAAGCATTGTGTGACCGAAGATTGATTGAGAAAAACGTCAATTGCCGTCAATGCGCCTAGAGGAGGTTTCTTAGTATATCAACCACAATAAAAGACTCGGCCACTCGGCGTACCTACCTACACTGGTTCCAATGCACAGGTCCGGCAAAGATGCGATCGGAATGCCAATGCGACTTTCTAAAGCCCGTAGAAGGCCCAGTTGGATCAGGCCGCGCACTCCACCACCATCTAAACTGAGAATCACAGGGGGCTTCGTTGGAGGCAGTTGGCGAACAGTGACGTCGGACCTCTCCTCGCAGATGGGACATTGAGCAATCTCGAAATGGTAATCCCCAAGACGACTTGGCTTTCCGAAGATCACGACACAAGTGTCACATATTGCATGTTTACACGGCAGCATATGCTCCGGGGGTCGACTCAGACAGACCAAACAAGTAGTGGTGGAGCGAAGACCACCCCACTGGCGATACAAGCGACACAACGTCTCTTTTCGAATGGCTGCCGATGTCTTTACTGCGCTCAATTGCGCAAAGTCATGCACGAAGCGGGATGAAACGCTAGCAATATGGTATTCGAACTCATTGTCCCAAATACTTAGGCATCGCTTCTCATAAAGTTCAGCGAACACCACGGTAGGCGAGAATCCTGGACAGGTTAGCTTCTTAATTGTGTTCAGGAGAGTATGAGTCAAGAATTATGGTCATACCATGCATTTGAGGGGGATAGGCGTCCATCAAGAAGGCCGAGGCTACAAGGTCATCAAAGTCCTCCTTTGAGTAGCCAATGCATGTTTGCATAACCTCTCGAAGGCAATCGTCCATCATTTTGTTCCTCACATAGTCCCTTCGGGCTCTTTCCAAAAGATCAAATGGTGGTGCATGCAGGAGCCATTCGTGGGTTTGTACCCCCGTGCTCCAGAAAGCGCTCAGATGAGACGCCGAGAAGCGTCGACAATTGGAAATTTGCTCGGCCTGGACTATACTGAGCTGCTTAACGATCAATGTTTGCAGTGGCTGGAAAACGACACTATCTGAAAGCCCGTGACGTGGACGCAGGTCCAGAATCGTGACTGTCCCAGTATCGAGCTTTTGGAGCCGTGCGCATTCCTGTGCGAAGGCCTTTGTTGCATGTTGACCGTTGGTCAAGACAATGACTATCTGCGTGGGAGCGGGAACAACTTGGTTACCAATGGTAAGTTGTCGACGTGGTCGCTGTAGAAAGTTTGTTGCGGCTTGGATGTCCGGGACGGAATCGAGGAATAAACACAGGATCTGGGTCCATGGCAAAACGAGTTGCCTCTTGACCTCTTGCTGTAGCCTTGCAGGGGTCAACGTTCCGTCTGCACCCGCTACTGAGAAGGTTTGATGCTTTGTCGTTGAATTCTTGAGCCACTTGGAATCACCCAAGCTTTGTTCGAGGCATATACCGCTTTCAGCAAACAATATCGGATTCTGTGTATGGGCGGTCTTGGTGCTGAGATGGAGACGGATCAAGCCTGCGGGGCCTTTCCGTGTAATGTTGTTGTAGGGGAACAGAGCCCGCAAGGCTTTCTTGCGGTTTGAATTTCCGTAAAAGTAGAGCAGGGATGGATATTGATATTTTGGATTGGGTAATCCCTGCACTAGTTGTTCTAGGCGGTTGGTATCAACTAAATCCCAAGCTTCATTCTCTTTGACGAGGTCAAGCCAGGCAGCCATTAGAGAGATTGAGAGATTGAGAGATTGGCAAAAGAATGGGCCTATTGGGAACCTTATATACGGGCTCTCATCTGAAAGTGACTGGCAGTGACTTACAGGTGGCCGACGCTCAGGTTGAAGTTGGCATAACCTTGTCTCGCCTCAAAATCCCCTCTGAATCAAAAACATGTCAAGCAGCAGATTTCTTCCGCCAGTGCATTTGCAGATGGCGGTCGCTTAAACCGATTATGAAGCAACTTTCACGTTTTGTCAGATGGCATTCTTTTTTGACTTCGGAAACTAGCCCAGGTAGGTCTCACCGCAAGATACAAATGCGTCTTCCCCATACTAGGACCCTAGACCTAGTTAGAGCACGTATTATAGTGGCGTTTCATATGGACTATTTAAAGCGCTGACACGGTTCTTGTTGATTTGCCTCCTTACGATAACCTTAAAATTTTTGGGTCATGGCCTTCGGTGTGGACGATCACACAAGTACCCCAGCGAAAACGGGATCGGAAAAGACTCCACTTCGTGAAATTGACCCTGTGCTTGTTCTGTCTTGCTCAGCTGCGGATGTGGTCCCGGCGCTGTGTAGAGTCAACCAGATACACCACGCCGATGAAACTTCCTATGTCAGAATGCTTAGAGAAGAGGCAGAAATGGATATGCGTTTCAGTATCACAGTTGGCGCGGCTAACTGGGCACTGCTGGCCGGCTATCTAGTCATTCCCGGCACATTCACTTCGCTACAGACCTCAAACCAGGTTGAAAAGACGTTGCAAGCCAACGAGGCCGGTCGTACAGTTCTACATATGATCCAGAACCCCCCGTTCCTCGCTATTGCGTGCTTGCTTTTTGCTAGTGGAATTGCGGCTCTCATGTGGCTGATGCATTTCCCAAATCTCAGGGGAAACTACCCCTGGCTAATCAACAAAGTTTTTTTGTAAGTGAACAAGTCCCAACTGACAGAGGTATGAAAAGCCAGATCCAACTCTAATCGTGGACTAGACCCCTATGCCTGCATGCTGCTGCTGGGCTGCTGACCACTGTCATCAATGTTTGTACATCTCAAGGTGGGGATTGGTCGGTGATGGCTATCATAACAACTGCTGTTACTGGAGCAACTCTCCTGAGCTGTTCAGCACTTCTTGCACTCTACAAGTTCTACAAGCTGGAGCGGGTCAGGAAAGAAGATGAGGATATCCGGCGTTCTCGAGGATCCACCGCTCTTGATACGTGATATCAGGGTTTTCAGAACGGAGAAGAGCCTGGTCAGAAGTATCACCGTTGCATCGAGACTGGTATTTTCCATCTTTTCCTTTTTTATTCTAACTCTCATTCCGGTATTGCGGAAGCCCTTTTGCTTCTAGGGTTTAGTTGTGATCTCTCACAAAGAGTCTGCATGTGGACGTTTGGGCGCGCCCAATAGTCCTCTCGTCCATCCCATCACACAGCATCACTTCTTGTTCAGTTTTCCGGTTCCCATTCAATATTCATCATGTATCCCTATTATCTAACGAAATTCGTCTGATTCAGAAAATAGCATGTTCAATCCTAAAAGAGATTTTCGTACGGAAGCCCTCCGCGGCCAGTATATTGAAGATCGGCTAAACTACTCTCTAGATCGATAGAATGGTTAGACTGATTGCTGATAGACCGATAGATAGCATGTTTTTACTTAAGACACTTCTCATTTTGCCAAATATACTTCATCTTTCCAAAATAAATTGAACGATAACCCTGTAGATATTTAATAAATACTGTTGTTCATGTCCCACGAAAGAACATTTCCTGTTGATTTTTGCCGGCATGTTTATTATGAAATCCTACTCTTATTTCCTGCGAGTCTATGTAGTCTCCTAGTAAAATTCATCGAAATGATGGAAATGGCCGCCTTGATGAATAGAAGGCTGTATTAGCAAAGCGATAGTATCAGTCAAGTTCAAGCAAGCTAGAAGCGGGCTATATTTTCTTTTGCCACCAAAACTCAATACAATACACGAACGTGCCCACCTGATATTGGATGTTTTTACAAATCAAGCTTATTGATAGGTTACGTTTGGAGGAATTTAATATCTCAAGTTATGGTCAATCGATTCCCCAAATCAATATGCTGTGATTCCCCGAATTGTCAAAGAAAATGTTCTACATGACAGCCGTAGGGAGCTACATACGCATATGACATACGGTGAAGGAAGTTGTGCTAACAGACCAAGCTCTTAAATCTTTCCATTAATTGAGTGCAACAAGATTTGGTTCAAGTAGCCATGTTGAGAAACGTTGGGTAGTCAAGCGTGTTAAGTAACCATTCATCATATTGCGCATGATCCCGATACCGTTGAAGCTATTTATTAACTAACGTGAGTTGGTGCCCTATTGCCAGCATGGTTTGATTTAAAAGCCAAGGTATAAGTGAAATATGCGAGAGCATAAATATTAGGCCAACCCCCTTTGTGAGCCCTCCTTTCTGCTCAAATACATGAGCCCTATACTCAGAAAGACCGCCCAAAACGATCTACTCTTGGGAATTAGCCAGTTTTGCCAGTGCGTACGGTAAGAAGCCCCCACCACGCAAACCCCGTTCCCTCGCACTATCTCTAATCCATGGATCAGGACATAGCTAGGAGACAGGTGTTTTCCGATAGAGGAATCAAATCTAGCCTGGGCCAAATGACATGTCTACCAAAGTCCCAACGACTACCGTGACGCCAGAAACAGTGCCTCACGTACAAAACCAGTACGTTGATCAACCAACGTTACCGACATTGCTATGTTTATGGGTTGACAATTTCAAGTACCGAGAGATTTCATGTGATATAATTCGAAGCATGAAGACAACCCAAACGCCCTACTGGAACAACGCCGCCTTGCCCTTAGCTTTGATAATGCCAACATTCACACTGCCAACTGGGAGTACGGTGGAGGCTATCACAGCAGCTCATACTCCTGCCCCTACACGAATCGGACCTACCATACTGACTGAAGGCCCTGGAAATGTGGTGTGGTCATCGACCACTCGATGGCTGACTTTATGCTATCTGCTCCTCCTAGTTGTCAAAATAATTGGTAAGTCGATCCATTTAGTTTGCTCAACATCCTCCACGGAGGAGCAGAATAGGGCTAGCTCACGATATCTGTCTCTGTCCAGGAATAATTTTACCTCCTGTTGTCCTTTTCTGCAGCAAGTCACTAGCAAAAAGGAAAACAAAATGTTGGATATTCAAGGGGAACAGCATGTGAACATGTTGAAAGTAGACCTGTTAAAACAGACTGAATATTATAGGCTATTTTATGATGCTGAGCAACCGCACCTCAACTTTCCACACTTCAATTGACGGTGATGGAAATCCCGACCAACAGAGGTTCACTGTAACCTACTATAATTCGCGGCAATTCACCACCACACTTAAAGATCCAACGTCGTTATGTTGTTACCAATTGACTGACATTGCGAAGACGAAGGTCATGTGTCAAAATAATATCTTGGAGCTATAAATGGTTCTTTGACCCTTGTCCATCCTCGCTATGTTTTTTCACGCTGGGAAGCCAACACAGCATTATGAATCGCGCTAAGACCAAACACAGCCGACCTTCTACCGTGTGGCTTGATGAGTCGGCCTTCTGCAATGAGCAGCTGAGTCCAAACTCAACGGCGTCTCCGCATATCCAACCCCTAACAATGCAGAAAATGGCCACCGCCGTAATGACACCTAGTTCAATGAAGCCACACCCGGATCGCCCAAGTGCAAGCATCCCACAACTGAATCAGAACCCATGGGATACTTTCGAGCCTGCTGCTGGTTCATCCCAAGATCGGTCTCTGATATTTGCCCGAAATAAGTCGGAAAAAGGCAAGTTGGTGCATATCCATCAACTTGAAAAACACTTCTCTCCCGCCACAGGTTTCCTAGAACTGATGGAACAAGTCATCCATCCAAGCTTCCTAAAATTGCTCGAATGTTATCATCATGATGCATCGTGCACGTTTATCTGGGAACCAACAGAGGTGTCAGTCAGCCACATTTTAGCCTCCAGCTGCTCGATCACCACCGACGAACTCGTTGGAATTGTCAAACCGGTGAGTCAGTTAAAATCTCTTGCAGGTGCATTTGAAATTAACATGGGATAGGTGTTAGAAGGAATCCAATATCTGCGCGGGCTCGGGCGAGCACTCGCTACCCTAGGCCCGGAAACAATCCTGCTTACGCAGTCTGGTGATGTCAAGATTAGTGAGGTATCCGCGGATATTGCGAAAATTGATAAAAACTGACTTTCAATAGTGGGCGTCGAGAATAGCTGCGAAATTAAAGAATCGGAAATGAACCCTGCGACGATGAAGTTATGCGCTCTAGCTGATGTTGTCACGAAATTGATGTTGAAAAATCGTACATACGAGTGGGAAACGGAGATTCAAAACTTGCCCTGCCAACTGGAAAACTCCGCCATCGAAGAAATATTGCAGGTAAGTTTATTCGATCCCATCATGTTCTCAGCTAATGTGACAGAATGAGATGTTTACACGAGATTCATGCGAGGGAGTGTTGAAATTGTTGGTCAGTGTAGCCAACAAGACTGCCTATCACGGTATCAAATCATACTATGCTCGTTGCTGAAGGACCGACTCATTGGCTTTTGCTCGGCTGTTTTTTGGGGCCTACCAAATCGAGACGGAACTCGCGATCCTATTTTCCATCTGTGCTATTCGGACACTATATTACTGGTACATAAGGAAAGCTAGGAGCCCAAGTTTAGTAGATGGAGTATGGTTCCGCCGGTGGAAGTTCGCAAACGCTTTCCAATCTAACCAAATATAGTAGATCCAGGATAGCACCTCGATTACATTCAACTTGCAACCTGTTATCACAGTCAAAATTGCATAATTTTACCGCGTCGCGAATGAAGGACTACTGTTGCTAGGGCGACAGGTATGTGCTGAAAGAATGTTTTAGAGCAATGTATATAAGGCCTTTGTCCGCTGGAAAATCGTCACTGTGCTTTTCATGCTCCGCAAGACCTACACTGCGTGATGAACCACAAACATGTCAAACACAGCAGACCTTCTACTGTGTGGGTGGATAAATCTAGTTTCTGCCATGAGGAGCTGAGTTCCAAATCAACTGCCTCCCCAGATACCAAACCCTCACCGAGTCATCCAATGACAGCCACCGCAGTCGCCCCTGGTTCGACGAAATTACGAATCAACAATCCAGACGCAAGAATCTCATGCCTAAACCAGAACCCATGGGATACTTTTTAGCCTATTGCTGGATTGCAAGATCGGTCTCTGATCTTTGCCCGACACAGGAAGATTAGAGGACACTTGGTGCATATCCAACAAATTGAACAACAGTTTACTCTCGCTACGAGTTTGCTAGAACTGATGGAACAAATTTTTCATCCCAGCTTTTTAACATTACTCGAATGTTACCACCATGGAACATCGTGCACGTTAATCTGGGAACCAACGGAGGTCTCAGTCAGCCACATTTTAGCCTCCAGCTGCTCGATCACCACCGACGAACTCGTTGGAATTATCAAGCCGGTGAGTCAGATAAAAACTCTTGTAGGAGCATTCTAAACTCACTTCATATAGGTGTTGGAAGGAATCCAGTATTTGCGGCGGCTCGGAAGAACACTGGCTACCCTGAGCCCGGAAACGATCCTGCTTACACAGTCTGGTCATGTTAAGATTAGTGAGAATATGTCCTGATATGGTGAAGATCGATGAAGATCGACTAACTTTCACTTAGAGGGTGTCGAGAATAGCTGCCAAATCAAAGATTCGGAAATGAACCCCGCGACGATGAAATTATGCGCGCTAGCCGATGTTGTCACGAAATTGATGGTAAAGAATCGTACCTACGAGTGGGAACCAGAGGTTCAAAATTTGCCTTGCCAGCTGGAAAATTTTTCCATTGAGGAAGTATTGCAGGTATGTTCATCCCAGTCCTCATCATACACTCAACTAATGTGACAGAATGAGATGTTCACCCGAAAGTCATGCGAAGGGGAGCTGGAATTGTTGGTCAGTATAGCGAACAAGACTACCTATCACGGTATAAAAACTTACTATGCTCGTTGTTGAATTACAACGCACTGAATCAGGTTTGCCTCCTTTACGTAGAGGGCATAACATGTCGGGAGACGGTCGCAATTCTATCTTTCATGTTGGCTGGTTGATGAAGGAGACTAGATAAGGAAAGCACATGGTATAGCAGGGATGATCTGTTCGGGCCTACTTGTCTAAATTCTCAAAATGCTTCACAGATTCTCACTCAATGTCCGTTGTTTTGATTTCCACTCCTATTCAGATGAACTATCTTTGTTTCTCATCTCTATCGTAATCCGTGTACTTCAATCAGTCTTTACGTAGCACGTGGATTATGATCCAATTTATTCCTTTTATAACGCAACTGACCAGCTAGGCAAGCTGCTGCCGTGATATTGCAGATCCGCTATCCTGATATAACACGTGCAACTAATTCGATCCTCTTAGCGCAGTTGACGAGGAATTCGAGGGGTAACGAGTGCAGTTTTCCGCTGATGAGACTACCTGTAGAGGCTGCATATTTTGTCGCAGGTGTTGATATAGAGCTGACCGGTGGTCATAAATAATGATAACTATACAGGTTATTGTCAAAAAGTAGGTGATTGGCTTGATGTACGGACCAGATGGCTCCACAAGGCATTCAAGAACTCCAGTGAACTACCTTTTTAGAGTGGAGTAAGAAGAATGATGGGCACGATCCTCATGGAAAGCTTATCTACCAGCCTCTGCTACACTTGCTTTGAAGGTTGCTAACCCAAATAGAAAAGAGATCCGGAGCAGGGTCAACAAAATCCCAGTCTGCTCATATATAGGGTATTGGGAAAGGGCAATATTTTATTAGAGGATACTCTACATTCAGCGTCATTATCGCGATGCGCAGGGTGCTTGGATGCTTGGAATACAGTTTAGGTGCCGCAGATGGGCCGGCCCACAGCACCCACTCCCGGGAGCCAATCGGTTTTCCGGGTTTAGTTCAAAAACCAGAGATATCTACGTAAGCTCATGTGATCCACTGGCATTATTTCTACAAGCCATCTGCTAGAGGTATCAGACTGGCGATCGAATAGGGCATATGGAGAGGAAGTTTTGGGCTTGAAGAGAGTATAGTTATCAGGGAAATCTTGGCGCAGAGGAGATACATAGCTTCTAGAACGTTCTACAGACCAGATAGGCAAAGTTCAGCTTGCCACTTGACAGGGGAACTTGCTTTCTCATGACTGCGACCAAGAGAACACAAAAGAACACAACCACGGGTCGGGTTGTAGCCTACCATTCTGTTGCCAAAGTTTGCGTGTTCTTCCAAATACTCACCTGCCCCGGCAGTACCTCCTAGGCAATAATCCCCCGTTCCATCGGACACTGATGGCCGAAATCTTTGGGATTGTGGATCGTGTCTGGACCTCTGCAATTTTTTCCAGTTTCTCTGCGGGCCACAAATAGAACCTCCCTGATCTACTGTCCCCTGGGTCGTCGCTGAGATCTGCATCGCACAACCGTACCTGCGTCTGTCTACATTCACGCGTGGCGTTTGATTGGCCCGTCGGGTGCTATTCGTCTCTAGGGTCTCATTAGTGTGATAGTAGCGTTGCAATCTTGCGAGGGGGTGGCGATCACGAGAACCTAGCTCGTGGGCCTTGGTTGCATCAGTTCACATGGTTGTCCTGGAAACTAGACCCAGTTTCTTGTCTGAGCTTTTCAAAGGTCTGGACCCTTTTTGGCTATCATGCCAAAGGAAGACAATCTTCATCCTGATATTGAAAGTATACTAGTGCCTATACGCCTAGGGAGTAGAGATTTTAGTAAAGACAACATAAGTCAGCTGCGAGTAGAAAGGAAAGAAATAACATTTAGCGGCGCGGGCCTAGAGATAGCAGTATTCATTCTAGTGAGACCGAAAGGTCCTCCGGCCAACCGCAGGTACAGCACAGCGTTTCCGTCGGCCATCTCCAGCCCATTATTTCGGCATCTGTCGAAGCACTTCAACCCTCACGAAAGAAACGGTGACCGTAGTTAAAACGGGGACACGTAGAATACAAGCGCGTTGAGCGATATAATTGCAAATTCGATGATATGTACGAATCTTACTTTTGCGGCATTACTTTCTTCTCAACAGTCGATGAAAGTGGTTCACCACACTCAAGGCACAATTTTGAGAGGAATTATTTCAGGTCGAGGCTTGACTCTGTAGACCACAAAGTCTCCAAACACCACTTCAACGTCGTTGAAATCGCTTCAACGGTTATTAACGAGACAGTGATTCTCGCTACCATCTGCGCAACTGGTTCCTTGGTCGAGACGTAGCCGAAAAAATATAAAAGGAGCCGGATTCCCAGCCCAAAAAGAATCAGGACTTCGGTCCTCACACTCCGATGTGTCATGGTGTCCCTCTCTTGCCTGCGGGCTTGAGTCTCCGTGACCACGGCTGTCGCTGCCACGAGCCCAGTGATGTAAGACTTGCGCTCCCTCGCTGCCACGAGCCCCGCGAGTGTAAAAAGGTGCTTCGCAGGATAGGTCTGCGTCAACAACAATCCTCGCAGG